AATCCTGGCAACCACCCCTAAGGGTGTGAATGGGGGTATCAAAGGTTCAAAAATTCTCCCAAAAAGTAATTTCTTTAACTGTTCTCCTCAGGAGTAACTCGTGAAAGTAGAGCCCTTTGGGCGAAAATTTCGTCCGTTTTGCTCTTTCTCTAACCGTTTAGGCGCTAGAGGGTCTTTTTTGACGGAAGTAAGCTAAAAAGTGCTAAAGTGAACAATAAGTTGTAGAAAAAGGCATAAAAACCGCAAAAGAAACTCTCCCCTTACCCCCCGAAAACGTTTTCTAAGCAGAAGGGTGGGTTGTAGTCGCGGTGCTTCACCGTTACATCCCCTTCTCGAGTCTTTGGGGCAAACTCAAAGACAACGGGTGTAAGCGGGCCGAAGGCCCGCTACATCATTCGATCATGTTCTTCAGCAAATCGCGTGACAGAAATGGTCGGGCCGCAGGCCCGACCATCGCCGCCGGCAGGACAAGCAGGCCCGGCCCCTGCCGAATGGAGTTGCCGGCGGAGCGAAGCGGAGCTGGCAACTTCGTTTGGCGGAAGGGCGGGCCTGCTTATTCACTTCCGTTTTACATAGCCTGGAACACCCTATTGTTTTACATAAAATGATGATCAGGTCCTGAAAGTTCCTCCTGGTGACGTTCCTTCCGGGATGTGACAATCACCTCCCACTCAGGACGTACTGGTGGGAGATGCTTATCTTCTGCTCAGGGTCTAAAAAATGTTGCGTTTTGTAGTCCTGTGTGACGTCCTGGCTGGGACGTCCCACATCCCAACCTGGTTGTACCAGGGATGTGTTCGGGAGTATGTTTTGTTGACTGGGTTCGGCCTTTCTAATATGGAAAAATGGAAAAAAATCTTTATTGTCGGAGGAATAGTCCTTTTGCCCTAAGTTATCGTGTGGACAGACAGACGGACTGATAGAAATAGGTTTCTTTCGACTGCTTTCGTTCAGTCAGCAAGGTAGATGTATGCCAGGCCACGTCTCGTGTAACAGGCTTTGCGTTATCCCACGAAACACTGTAACGCTATGACGGCCGTGGCATACATCTACCTTGGCCTCCGGTGCGTGCTGACACTCGTGTCCAGTACTGGAAAAACTTAAACGAGCTAGTACGCAGCAAATCGGAGGTCTTTGTGATTTCAAGATGGGAGGAGGCCCCTAGATCCTCAACGAGATTATAACCTTTCTCCGAGTGAGTCGTTTTGGTTGAGTAGTCCCTAGACCATATAGGGCATTCCGCTACAACACAATCGGAACCTGAAGAAAAAAAAACGTGACTACCCGATCTGTTTCCTCCTGAACACTGATTGGCCAAAGCTGGCGTGCCTGTGGCGGTAGGCCAATGAGCGCTCAGAGGGAAACAGATCGAGCAGTCGTGCTTTTCAGAACAACAGGCAGGAAACAGTAGCTTTTAATAACCCACACGTTTATAAAACATTGCACAAAATATAAACAATATCAAAATGATACGACCTACAGTTTATTCAAGTGTTTTGGGTACATTAAGGTGATTAAAACCTACTGTTTCCGGTCTATTGTTCTTCACCTTCTTCTTCACTTCGCTAATAGGGTGTTCCAGGCTATCTGAAACGGAAGTGAAAAAGAACAAACTCACTGATTTATCTGTATCCGTCAGCCCAGTATGAGAAACTACCATGGTAGTTTGGCCCGATCCTAACTTCTCAAATATTGAGGGGAGCTCGAAACTGATCTGATAGTTTCTCATACCTACACGGCCGCGGGGGCACGTGATTAGCTCGACCAATCAGAGCCATTACGGAAACAGAAACGTCAGTGAGTTTGTTCTTTTCCTACTTCCGTTTCAGATTGCCTGGAACGCCATATTCTGAAAAGGTCTATTCCGATAGACCGTTGCGACGGCATTAACGCATTTCGGTAAAGCTGAAATGCAGAAAAATTCGGGGAAGAAGAAAACGGAAGTCACCATGTTGAAGCATAGCGATTTCCGTTTTCTTCTTCCCCGCATTCTTCTGCATTTCTGCTTGATCGGAATGCTTTATTAGGCAACGGCGCAAAATTTTCTTTCAAATGTAATCTGGGCATGTTTTTCCCGGGTGGAAGGATCTTCACTTATTCTCTAAAAGGTTTCTGAAGTAAAAATGTACCCATGTCTCTAGTAAAAAGCTGGTAAAATGCAAGAATATTCTGAGTTTAAACCATTCTTAAAGCATAGAATTTTGCAGTATTAGTAAGGTTTAAGTGCAGAAGTCAATACTTTAAGTGGAGAAAAACTGCAGAAAAACTACCAGTTTTTTCGGACTACTACAGTTTTTTATCAGTTGGATGACAGTTAGCCTAGGCAGTAGAAACTGCAGTTCTACTTCAGTTGAATTGAAGTCAAAGCTCATTTTCAATGTTGTTTTTCCTCATTTTAAAATAAAAAGAAAGCAAACTTTGTACTTGACCTCAACTCTTATTATAAGTCAGAGGCAAGCATCCTCGGTAGTCTAATGTAACTGGATCTCCTGGCTACAATTTTAACTTGTGTCATCTACATTCAAGACTGAAGATCAGTCTCCTCTGTTACTTTCTTGTAAATGCAGTAATACTATTGAAATTAGAGAGCACATTCGCTGTTTAGGACTTTCTTTCTAGTGTAGGAAAAATGTTAAATAATGATGACTATGTTGACTCAGTTGCATCACTTTATTGCACGAAGTAAATAACTCCACTACATAGTCTACTCTGCACAGGGGGAAATAGGCTCCGAAAAATTGTACACCCGAAGTCGAAGTTCATGAACTTCGGCCGAAGTTCAGCCGAAGTTTACTGAAGTTCGCTATGTTAAATTTGATCGGAGTTCACCAAAATCAACCGAAGTTCAACGAAATCAACCGAAGTTCACCGAAATCCATCGAAGTTCACGCAGTTCACCGAAGTTCAAAATCAGACATTGAAGTTCCTCGAAGTTCATAGTTAAATGTCGAAGTTCCCCAAAGTTCAAAATAAATCTCGAAGTTCTCCGAAGTTCAAAATAAATCATAGAAGTTCACTGAAGTTCAAAATAAATAAGTACATTTTAAAGGCTGAACCTAGCGATTTTGAGTGCTTACTATAAGCGAGTCACCAGCTTTCTCAAAGCAGATATTTACGGGCCGAATTACAAAGATTACGGAGGGAAAATTTTGCTTTCATATCTCTTGATCAGGTCGAAGTTCGAGAACTTCACTCGAAGTTCCGCGAAGTTCACCGAAGTTCACCGAAGTTCTCGAAGTTCACTAGAGTTCACTGAAGTTCACCGAAGTTCACCGAAGTTCGCCGAAGTTCAAGGAAACGTACACCGAAGTTCAAGCCTATTTCCCCTTGACTCTGCATCTACCTTGTTGCGAGCATGATGTCACAATAATTCGCTTGCTTGGTTTACCCTTAAAGTCAATGATCCACAAAACGAATTTTCCCCTGAAAAACATAACAGTTATTATTGAAGACTGTTCAAACTGTGTATACATAAAAAATAAAGGACGTAGAAAAATAATTGTAACTTGTGCCTTACCTTAAACATCCATCGTTCTCAACATACTCAAATACGAAATGTTAGCTACAAAAGTTTCACAGCATGAAATACAAGCTTGAGTGCAACTGAACCCGTTGAAAGAGGTTTCGAATTAGTCATTACTCAACAGAATGTTAAACCAACTCAGCACTAAAGATACTTACCAAGTAGAGAAAGAACTTTAAAGTCACCTTTCAATTCGCTTCAAAACATAGTTGTTCAGTCTGAGGTTGGGGAACTTCTTCATGTAACGAAAGAAAACATGAGCCGTTTTTATGATGTCAGGAAACAACAAGGATACAGTATCACATTCCCGGTTTACTTACAGCAATTCACCCTGACTTTTCGTTGCATCATTTAGTAAAAGTCATTATGTAGACATGGATTTACTGCTATGATGTGAAAGATGTCCACGAAAGTGCTCCACTGATACTATCCAAGCTATGGGCCTAGGAGATGCTATGAAGTTAGGTTAGGCACACTTGAACATGTGTTGACTTCTGAAACAGACAAAAAGATTAATCAAAACATGGTTGCTTCTTACCGAAATAAAACGGGAGGCCACTAAATTATTGAGAAACGATAGAAAAGAAACGAGAGAGGGCAGCTTCAACAGCACCAGAATTTTAAAGTAAGAGCCTACGTACCTACGAGACTGTGACGCCTTATCTCCATTTTAAAAAGGATCCTGCAGTCAACAAAAGGCCACCTAGCTCTCCGAATTATCTTCTATCTCACACCTGATATACTTATGTATTAACAGTCAATAAACAGTAAATTACTTGTGACAAGTTGTTGACAAGCAGAAGCCTGTTGTCATAATCGGAGGTCTCCCGCCCGTGGTGGGTACTTCTGCAGTCGGCGCAGCGTGCATGACGGTGGTGTGACATCACGCGATGCTTTTGCTCATTAGGGGGCCGTTCAGGCACCTAATCTAACGTCAACATCATTTGCAACTTAATAATTAATTCCGTATAGTGTCACAGTCTCATTAACGTCGGAGCATAGCGGTTAAGAGTCTAGGGTTTTACCGTCAAAACGAATCTGTGGGCGCGATACGCACATTGCCCGCCAATGCCACTAGCCGACGTAACATTAACCTATTCAATCCCAAGTTTTAGTTGTTGTAAACTCAAGCTTTTTGCTGTTTCGCTATCCTGTTTTGTGATGATAAAGAAATGAGAAATAGTAAAAGCAAATGTGCCACTATTTAACCTAAAAAGCTTGCAATGGGCTTCATCAGAAGAGTGCTATCTTCAATTTCTATAGTTAACTGTGACTTGGAGGAACAGGAGCCAGAATATTGTAGTTATCATTTTTGTTCCAGATGTGTACCTAGTTGTCTTCGCAGCCGAAGCCGAGGGTCAAGCTGAGTTTCAAGGCAATACTAGGAGTCCAAAGAAATCATGCATTCATCAACAAGTATCCATTTTGAAACCCTTGATAGGTACGCAGGCATGCAGATTATATGATTTGAGTCTAACTGTTTCTATCAAAATACATGAGTTTTTGAAAGAACTATATATTTATGTTGCAGGTGAGTGACAAGGCGTAAGGGCAATCAGTCCACCATCGAAGATTAAGTCAAGAAGAGACAATACCTTCAAGATATATGGGGAAGTGTTGTGTACAACTGTTCAAATTTAAAGGTTATAAAACATCAATATTTTAGGAGCAATAAATTTGTATTTCAGAGGTAAAAGTTAAAATAATTCCTAATTCTCCTGGTCACCATCAGACTCGCTGTCATCTACATACTGAAAGAATGAACATTGTATTTAGAAACTTAAACAAAGACAATGCAGAAACTAGGGCAGAGGCTGAAATCTATTTGAAATCGTACCTGCATTGGCTCGTCTTGGTTTTTCTTCTCTCCGACGAAACTGTTCGCAGCCGAACTGAAGGATGATTGGGACAAGTGCGGGAACTTTTCAGGAACAAAGTCTATAAAAGGAACAATAAATCAGTTAACAGTGAAATTAAAATTAATATAAATGTAAGTTAAATAGACTTACTTTGAATGTCCATCATCTTTTGATATTTCTTGAGCATAGGCTTAACTACTACTGTCCCATCTGGCTGGGTCCTCTTTTGCCCGGCATATGTAGAGTCCTGAAGTCTCTTTACACTAAATGCCTGCTTTAATAAAATTCCAACCATTCTGCCTGGGCTTGAGGCATGCTTGGCAGTATTGTGGGCATTTCTGGTCACAAGTAGTTTCTTCCCAATAAGAACCTTAGAGGGTTTTAAATTTGATTCGATTTTTGCTAGCACTGAACTGAATGAGAAATTAGAAGAAATTTGATAACTTACTTTGTTTGGAGTGTCGTGGGAAGCAAGAGGTTCTGATCTACTTCTTGGAGTCCTCGGGCTCCCAACAACTTCTCGCATCACATTGACAAGTTCCTTGAGAACTGTAAAACAAACAAAATTTAACTAGTATCAAATAGCAAATAGCAAATAGCAAATAAATAAACAAAAAAAATCACCATTGTTTGATGCAAGTGAGGGAGTGCTTGTGGCAGCGTTTGAAGGTGGGGATGAAGCACTTGAACCATGTGAATCGTCATTAGGATGCTGCTCCAGTTGCAGCATCTTTTGCTTCAAAAAGTCCTCATTATCTGAAATACATTAAAATGAATTAACATAATGTTTGCCACTTGAATCTAAAGATTCATAGATATGTCAAAGAATAGAAATGTTGGTATGCGTATTAGTCAGACATACAACATGTGTTTCATACATTTAACGAAAACAAAGACAATGAGGTTCTTGGCAAATAAGAGCAACAAGAGCTTTAACATAGTAGCCCAAGCAACACGGAACAGTCACTTTTAGTGATATGACTGACAGTAAAATGACTCAAAGTTTATAGAGAGTACTCACCACTAACTTCAAGGACTTCAGCCTCATAAATGGGCAAACCAGACCGTGGTTGAGGTGGCTTCCTCCATTCAACCACATAGGAATCTTCAAACAGAGCACCGCTGGGGTCGAAATTGCGTACCACTCGACGTGCACGTTGTGGGTGAGGGTGTCCTTGCAATCGCCGGACAACCACTTCACGAGAGCAAACTGTTGCCGCGTTTTCGAGTTAGAGAGCGGGCCGTTTCCCTCGTGCGAAGTACTAGCAGTAGTATTGCTGCTTCCCTCCCTAACATTATTGCCTCGAACGTTCTTCGACCTCATGGTGCTGAGGAACGTGAGCCGTAACAAAAGCACAACAGAGCAATGCGCCAAACACGCGAGAGAACGTATAGATTCCCCAAACTGTCAAATAACTACAGGACGTACGAGTCCGGGCGTCAACACTCAACTTCACACTGACACTCTGAACAGGGGGTAGCAACGAGGCGCTTCTGAGTGACCCCATGCGGTAGCGAGGCCCGGCCCCCCACCACCGGCCTCGGCGCGCCGCGGCCGGAGCCGGGCGAGCCGCGCCCGATTGCAGCGCTTCAGTAAATTCAACCATATTCTATCAAAACGTCTCAAAAACTATGACAACGAATAATGAATCGAAAGGGGAGGAGTTAAGCTACATCCCAGTGTGCCTGCGAACTAGTTTCGGTCGTCCGAAGTGAGTTTAAAGATAGTCTGAAGGCAGAGCAAGCTCGACGTGTCCCGGCCGGCCCGTGCACGCATCTCGTATTGTTAAAATTTCTCCGCGATTTCGCTATGGATCAAATTTCTGCGGTGCTCTGGTGAAAGTAGACTAAATTTGTGAGAGCACTGACTATAAGCGAGGCTGATCGGCCAACGAAAAAGGTTCGAAATCAGTGTTTGTTTTTTAGGTTATGTTTTGGTTGCTACGAACACCATTCAAACAAACACTGTTTTCGAACCTTCTTCGTTGACCGATCAGCCTCGCTTATAGTCAGTGCTCTCACAAATTTAGTCTACTTTCACCAGAGCACCGCAGAAATTTGATCCATAGCGAAATCGCGGAGAAATTTTAACAATACGAGATGCGTGCACGGGCCGGCCGGGACACGTCGAGCTCGCTCTGCCTTCACACTATCTTTAAACTCACTTCGGACGACCGAAACTAGTTCGCAGGCACACTGGGATGTAGCTTAACTCGCCCTTTCGATTCATTATTCGTTGTCATAGTTTTTGAGACGTTTTGATAGAATATGGTTGAATTTACTGAAGCGCTGCAATCGGGCGCGGCTCGCCCGGCTCCGGCCGCGGCGCGCCGAGGCCGGTGGTGGGGGGCCGGGCCTCGCTACCGCATGGGGTCACTCAGAAGGGCCGCGTTGCCGCCCCCTGCTCTGAATGACTGATCCTGGGCAGCAGACTGCTGCTCAATTTATTGCAGTTTTCACCGCCCTCTGATGGTCTTCCCTCCAATCTCAAAATCACTGGCCGGAACATCGAGACAGATGATGTATAGTCTGGCGGAAAGAGGAAGAAACAGGTGTTCCCCCCCCCCTTCTTTCTTTCTCTGCACCCTTGCACCCACACTCCCAGCTGCTCCCAGCTCAGTCACTGTGAAGTTACTGACAGGAAAACACCACAACGCCATCACCATCATGTCTTCAGAACAAGCTGGAGAATTAAGGGTATCGTTCTATTTGGCAGTGAAGGCACTTGATGAAACTGACGATGGGTACCTCACGTTGAGGACCAGTGTGGCTATCAATAAGTTCAAGCGTTTTGTGCCGGGCTCTATCTGTACCTTGAGCACTGTTACTCCCGCCGTGGTTCTTGGAGTCGGATGTAAGCAGTAAAACTTTGTGCATGATTGGTTGGCTGAGCGATTAGCGAAGCCTATTACTCCGTCTGGTCGAAAAAAACTTTGTCTGTCTGTCTGTCTGTCTGCACGTCTGTCTGTCTGTCTGTCTGTCCGCACGATAACTCGAGAACGAATTGAGCGAGCGACCTGGGATTTTTAGGGTCGTTTTGTGTTATAAAAAGACAGATCGAGTTCGAAGATGAGCATTCTAGCTCAAAAATTGGATTTTTAAAAAATCAAAAACAACGGGTCCCAAAAATGACGTTTTTTAAAAATATTTTTTTTATGGTTTCCTAAGGGGTAACTCATCAAAGTAGTGCCCAATATGGGCGAAAATTTTGTCCGTTTTGCTCTAGCTCAAACCGTTCAGGCGCTTGAGGGTATTTTTAACGAAAATAAGCGAAAATTGTTCAACTCTGTATGCTTAGTCGAGGTGACGGGACGTTGACGGGCCGTAGGCCTGCATCTTTGTGTACATTTTCCAACCACCCGACTCGGGTGTCAGCGCCGCAGGCCAAGGTAGATGTATGCCAGGCGCGTCGCAGCGTAACAGTGTTTCGTGAGATATCGCGAAGCCTGTTACGCGAGACGTGGTCTGGCGTACATCTACCTTGTATTTGGTGGAGCGGAGCACCTCTAGTTGTTTGTATTTTGTAGATACCTTTGAAGAGGCCACTGCAAGATCAGCCGCATACCAAGCAGCAGTTAAGAAAGCGGAGAGAACTGGCTCTGGTGACTTATAAAATCTGCTATACTACGGTAAAAATAATTGTACTGCACCCCTTGTTAAAGCACTTCCATCACTTCACTTGGAGTGATCTACGATTACATATTAATATCATGTTATATTTTCCCTTTGCTTTCAGGAACTATATCTTGCTGGCCTACATTTTACTTTTTCT